GAATTTCTAACTTATTATTTTCCTTCTTGCAGAAACGTAGAGGTTGCAGCGCTACCTGCTGATGGAGTAGAGACCCTCTGATGGATCGGCTCTATCTGAGCACGCTCAGAATGATGCCTCTCTCCATGTGCAGAGAAGTGCCCATGACCCCCCCTCTCCTGACCTTCACTCCCTGTTTTGAAATGGTTGCTTTTAGTAAAATTGTAAGACAATGGATGAGTTGTGTACTAACACGGTATTCTGTATTTTCACTACTCCTTTAATGGCCCCTTTTTTAATTTTCTTTTACCCTTTTTTCTGGCAGTTGAGGATTTATTTGGATATGTCTGCTTTTACCCACAGCAGTAAAACAATGTCTTAGCTTCATTGTTGAGTCTTTTTCTAGATTGATTTTTCTTTTTAAACGGAGCAAGACTCAGCTGCAGTTTTTATTAGTCAGTGAATGAACTCAGACACTAAGGTTTAAAACTGACTGAATCTCCTGACACTTAATTCCAACTTCTTTTTATGCGGTGAGCCCAGTTTATATGCTTCTTTTTATCATAAATGAAAATTTGTACCAGTTTAGAATCTATGCAAAGCTGTGATGGCGTTGGCCTTACCTGCTCTCCACTTCTGGCCAGGTCAAATACCACTCCTGGATGAGCCATATACCCGCCCTCTGAGGGAAAGCTGTGTGTGTGTTTTCTTGTTTTAAACATTGTGGGGCCCGTTTTCTGGAAAAGTAGCATGTTGTGGGGACCGATGCCTGGACCCCACGTGAGGAATTGCTGTTTTTAGGTCAGGGTTCATTTTTAGCACTAAGGTATAAACTAATCTGCTGATGAGCGTTCATCCAGTCAGTTCATTCTGAGTTAATCAGGAAATACCATCATTTTAGAGACTTTACCTCCTCATGATGTTCCTCTCACTCTAAGTTAGTGTGTATTAGTTCTCTTTATTGTCTCATTTCTTTGTGTATATTTGTATCATATCCTGACCAGAAAAGAAGTTGTCTCAATTTCTAAAGGGGAAGTTTTGGTTATATAATTGTGGACATTACTTACACTTGGACAAAGTAGGGATTAAAGCAATTTTGGTCACAAACTTCTGATATCCAGAGGTCCCCTTTGACGGGTGGGGGGTAATTTGGATCAGCCATTTTTTTTTTGGAGGAAATACAACTTCTATGGGCTCATTTACTTCATCCTTCTGTTCTTAGGGGAAAAGGAGTGACAATTCAGGTGATTTGATTTCAATGTTTTCCTTTAAACTTTGTGACCTAAAGAGGAAACTGTTTTAAATCCAATCATCGCTGACCTTTGCATTGAGCTCAGATTAAATCAGCATCTATTTCTGGTCGCAAACCACACACTACCATACCGATAAACTGTGTTCCTCTTTTTCTGTTTATCTATTTGTTTGTTGTGGACGTGTTTTTTTTTTTCCCCTGTAACACTAACTGGTCTTTTCTACTTTGTGTTTGTGATCTTAAAGACCACTCTAACAATGAACACTACAATCTTTAGTAAAAGAGAGCTTCTAGGTCTTTAAATGAATATATATTATATGTCAGGATGACCATTAGTTTAACTTTTCAGAAACACACCATGTGATGACTGGTTAAAGGGACCAGGCCACTTTTGTATTATGAAAAAAGAAAAACAAAGCAATAAAGTAAAAAGCAGGTAATTGCTGTGAAAAATGTTTTCATCACTAATGTTTAATCCAAAGTGGTTGACATACTCAACCTGCTCCTGCAACCAAACTCTGCAGGGTCATAAAGCATTAGCAGGTCAAGAAAAGAAGGTTTATCATATTCATAATGTTTCAGTGTTTCTTTAAGTTTTACTGTCTACAGCCCTGCTGCTGTTCTTTGGACAGTGACTGTAGTGAATAAATTATTCGGATGTCACAATGGTTTGTTTTTTATCCTTGAAGTGGCAAATTTCTCTGCGAAACTATTCTGGAAGCCAAAATAAAAGGTTTGGGACAACAGTACAATGTCTTCATGTTTTTCTTTCTGAACCTAATGATTAATTTCAAGCCTGAGAAGAGAGATACTCTGCATATTAAAGTTCAACTCTGATTTACAAAAGCTTAAGTATACATTATTTCCTCCATAAACCTCCATCCAGATAGATAAATGTGATGTTTTGCTCTTAGTTTTATGATGCAATAAATTACAAACATTTGTATGTAATTCACCAACACAAAGTAGTGCCTAGTTTCCAAGCAGAAGGTGAAAGATGCAATTTAATTCAGTCTTCATATCCTAAAAGATCAACACATAATCTCATTGTACTTTAGAACAGAGAAAGTTTTTTCAGTTGTATTTTGTTAGTTTCAAGCCAAGCACAGGATATCCCACTTGATTCCAGTTATCAAACAACACAGCACAGTTGAGTTACCTCCGCCAAGGTGGTTATTTGATAAGGTGAGTTTGTGTGTTTGTCTGTCTTTGTACAGGATGACTTGAAAGGTTATGAAGGGATTTTAATGATTTGATGAGTTGTTTTTTTTTGTTTTTTTGTTTTTTTTTTAACCAAAGGTGCACATAAGTCCAAGGAAAAATATCAGTTTTGGTGATGAACTGGATGCAGGAATTTTTACTAAAGGATGTTTTAACATTATTTGGCTAAATAACCAGTTCCCCCCTAAACCAGAGAGCGCAGCAGTGACAACTGACAGCTTCAGAATCTGGCTTAGGGACAAAAAAAGCATTACTTGGAGGCCTTAGGTTAAAAGGAAAATGATCATGGGTCATAACCCTTAACATTTTGCGAGACACTGTTGTAGCAGAATTGGTCATGGACCTTAATACAAGGCTATCAAGGAAAAAAAAAATGTAGGCAGACCTATTATTACAAGGGATGAAAGACTGGATGACGATCTAGCAGTACAGTGGTTCTGCATACCTGTCTGAACTGCGGGTGAAGAGCATATGCGAAAGGTCAAAGTGTTTTTTTTTGTAAGTTGATGACTTTCTATCATGGTAGAAACTAACCGTGCCTTGACAGCAATGGTCAACTCAAATTCTGAATAAATGAAGTAGAAAATCCGGTGCATAGCTGGGGAATTGCTGTTTGACCAAGCACAACAGACATTTCTGGAGCAGGGCACAAGTGGAAGAAAACTAACTCCTTGATTCAATTCAGTGTGTTTATATAGCGCAAATTCATAACACATTTCATCTCAAGGCACTTTAAAGACAAAATTCAACCAGATCATACAGTCAGATTGGTTCAAAGTTTTGTATTTAAGGAATACCAGCTGATGCATCGACTCATTGACTCAAAGGCAATCCCTCATACCAAGCACGGTTGTAGCGACAGTGGAGAGGAAAAACTCCCTTTTAACAGGAAGAAACCTCCAGCAGAACCAGGCTCAGTGTGAGCGGCCATCTGCTGAGGCCGACTGGGGTTCAAGGAGGCAGAAGCAGAGATGCAAAAAGCAGCAGAGATACAAAAGTTAACTATCAACAGCCAGGCAGATGAGTACTCAGCCAGCTCCCATGTCAGAGGATGAAGAGAGCACATGCAGTTAGTCACGGTCAGAGAAACAGGACTACACTGGCCAAACTCCAACATCTATAAACAAAGGTGTTGATGGCAGCAGCACAGCTAATATTTCTCTCCATGATGGTGTCACAGCCAGACTGAGAGCAAAGTGCTCTGTTAGGAACATAAGGAACAATCAGATCTCTGATATCAGATGGAGCTTGGCCATTTAAGGCTTTATATGCAAGAAGGAGGATCTTAAATTCAATTCTGGATTTAAAAGGAAGTCAATGAAGAGAAGATAGGAGAAATATTATCTATCTTTGTGATTTTCATCAGAACTCTGGCTGCAGCATTTTGGATCAGCTGAAGGCTTTTAACTACAGTTTGTGGACTTCCTGATAGTAAAGAATTACAATAGTCCAGCCTTGAACTAACAAATGCATTGACTAGTTTCTCAGCATCACCCCTGGAAAGGAGATTTCTACTTTTTGCAATATTCCTCGGATGAAAGAAGGAAATTATAGAAACCCGTTTAATACAGGATTTTTAATGACAGGACCTTATCAAAAATAACACCAAAACTTTTTACGTTATTATCTCAGATCAATTAAATCCCATTCAAATGAAGTGAATGACTAATCAGCTTCTTTCTACAAGACTCCGGTCCAAAGATAATATCGCCTGTTTTTTCGCATTAAGAAGAAGAAAGTTAAGAGTCATCCAGGTTTTTATGTTTCAAGAAAGGCATGTAGTCTATGTAATGGGTTAGCTTCATCTGGATTTATAGACAGATATAGCAGAGTATCACTGGCATAACAGTGGAAATTAATTCCAAGCTGTCTAATATTTCTACCAATTAGGGGCAGAGTAAATAGAATTGGTCCTAGCACTGAGCATGAAGAAGATTTATTATTAATGTGAACAAACTGAAATCTATCAGATAGATAAAATTTAAACCAGTCAAGGGCTGTTCCATGTGGCCATGAGAATATCATTAGTGACTTTTACCAGATTGAAACTCTTCAAAAAAGTTCATTATGGTGTAAGTGGTCACAGACTTGTTTGGCAACTGCTTTCTCAAGAATTTTAGATAAGAAAGGAAGATTGGATATAGGTCTATAATTGCCCAAGTCATCTAAGTCAAGAGACGGTTTCTTAAATGAAGGTTTAATCACAGCTACCTTAAAACCCTGAGGTGCATATCCCTGCAACAGAGATATGTAAACTACATCTAAAATGGAGGAGGAGATCTGATGTTATACTTCCCTAAATAACATGGTTGGAGCTGGATCCAAAATACAAGTTTAAGGCTTAGATTAAGATAATAGTTTGGGGCTGGATCAAAGCAGTCCAAACCCAGTTCAGATTCTATAGTTACCTCAGATATCGCCTCACCTTCCAGAGATAAACCAGTTATATTTAGAGGGGAGCCAATTATTTCTAGAATAAATCTTATTTATAAAGAATGCAATAAAGTAATTACTGCTAAGAGCAGGGAGAATGGGTAGTCCAACAGGGGCGTGTTCTAAGGCATTACACAGTGAACTAACAAGCCCATTAACAAAATCATAAACCTGTGAAGGGGAATAAACTGTTTGCTCTGTGCAGCACTGCTTGATGACACAGAGGAGATATATTTTGGAAAATATTATTTCAAATGCATAATTTCATTATCTGATAATGTTCTGCTAAAGTGAAACCTTCTTTTAGAGGAGGAAAAAGCTGTTAAAGTAATTTTGAATTTTATTAAAAAGTGGTCAGAGAGGACAGGGTTGTGGGGAAATAGTATTATTTCTTCAGATTCAATGCCAAATTTCAGCACAAGGTCGAAAGTATAAGTATGAAAATGTATGGCACTTTTCACATTTTGAACAAAACCAATAGCCTCTATAGTTTGCATGACAGGCTGCACTTAAGCTCTCACCTTCAACGTCAGCATTGGTGTTAAAATCCCCCACTATGATGACCATGTCAGTATTTAACTGAAACAGAAAGATATATTATGTCAAATTAACCACATTTAATAGGTTTAACTTTATAATTACCCCTCCCTGGGCTGCCACCTTATCTTGGTGGAGGGGTTTGTGTGTCCCAAGGATCTTAGGAGTTATGCTCTCTGAGGTCTTTATGCCCCCTAGTAGGGTCACCCAAGGCAGACAGGTCCTAGGTGAGGGACCAGACAAACAGCAGCCCAAAGACCCTTGATGATAAATAAAATAAATGGATGCAGTGTTCCCTTGGCCGGATGGGGGTTACTGGGGCTCCACTCTGGAGCCAAGCCTGGAGGTGGGGCACGCTGGCGAGAGTGCCTGGTGGCCGGGCTTTTACCCATGGCGCCCGGCCGGGCACAGCCCAAAGAGGAAACATGGGTCCCCCTTCCAATGGGCTCACCACCAGTAGGAGGGGCCAAAGGCGTCGGGTGCTTACCCTCGGCTAAAGAAGCTGGCTCTTGAGACAAGGAATGTCACTTCTCTGGTGGGGAAGGTTCCTGAGTTAGTGCTCAAGATTGAAAGGTTCCAACTAGGGATAGTTGGACTTACCTCGAGGCATAGCTCTGGCTCTGGAACCAGTCTCCTTAAGAGGGGCTGGACATTCTTCCACTCTGGAGTTGCCCCTTGTGAGAGACGTCGAGAAGGAGTGGGCATACTTGTTGCCCCTCATCTTGGTGCCTGTACGTTGGGGTTCACCCCGGTGAACATGAAGGTTGCCTCCCTCCGCATACGTGTGGGGGGACGGATTCTGACTGTTGTTTGTGTTTATGTGCCAAACAGCAGTTGAGATTACCCACCCTTTTTGGAGTCTTTAGAAGGGGTACTGGAGAGTGCCCCTCCTGAGAACTCCCTTGTTCTTCTGGGGGACTTCCACGCCCACGTGGGCAATGGCAGTGAGACCTGGTTGGAAGGATTGGCCCACCTGACCCGAACTTGAGTGGTGTTCTTTTGTTGGACTTCTGTGCTCCCCATGGTTTGTCCATAACAAACACCATGTTCAGGCATAAGGGTGTCGACATATGCTATTGGCACCAGGACACCCTAGGACGTAGTTCAATGATCGACTTTGTTGTTGTTTCATCTGACCTGCAGCCGCATGTCTTGGACACTCGGGTGAAGAGAGGGGTGGAACTCTCCACCGACCACTACCTGGTGGTGAGTTGGCTCTGATGGTGGGGGAGGACGCCAGTCAGACCTGGTAGGCCCAAACGTATTGTGTTTTTATTGTTAGTTTTTTATGCTCTGATCTGACAGGACTTTTGGACCCATCAGATACCGTTCCTACCATGTTAAACAGAGGGAACTCTAATTGGGTTTATAAGCCCATCATGTTGGATCTGATGGATCTTTTGGACCCATCAGATACCGTTCCCTGCATGTCTGACAGGTTGAACGCTATCGAACAGGGTTTATAGACTGATCAGATACCGTTCACCCATGTTAAACAGGGGGAATGCTATCTAACAGGGTTTATAGGCCCCATCAGATACTGTTCCCCAATGTAAAGCAA